AAGAGGAGGATTGTACTATGTGGATGACTTCAGTATGGGACGTGCCAACAATGTGAAGCATCTGTCTGATAACAAGCACCGACAAATTTGGCTCTGGCACAGACGTTTGGGGCATCCATCATTTCGTTATACAAGACACTTATTGCTAGAGTTATTTTCTGTAATTAAGGACTCATATTTTAAATGTGACACTTGCATTTTAGCCAAGAGTCACAGAGCATCCTATCCTTTAAGTATGAATAAAAGTACCATTAATTTTGCTTTAATTCATTCTGATGTTCCGGGACCATCCCCTATTTCTACTCATTCCTTTTGAAAAGAACTGGACTTTGAAAAGAAACTGCCTTTTGCAAGAGATAGGATCGTGGAGCTGTACTTTTGGATAGTTGGGGTCTATTTCGAACAACATTATATGTCAACAAGAAAAATTCTTACAAAACTGATTGCCCTGGTGTCAGTTTTGGATAATATCCACGATGCATTTGGCACATACGAAGAACTCGTGATTCTTACTGGAGCAATTGAAAGGTTAATTGGAAAAAATTTATAATCTGCTTAATAATTAGTTATTGAAGCTGATTTATTTGTTGCATAACTCCTACCTGCTTGTATGCCTAAGATGAATGTGGTTTATGCAATATTCAGGTGGGATATCAATTGTATGGATGAACTTCCAGACTATATGCAAGTATTTTACCATACCTTTTTCATCTGCAGGAATCAGAAAGAAAAAAACCAAGACATTGGAAAAGCCCAGACCTTTTTTGAACAACTTACAAATATAGCCATGATCTAAAAAGAATAAAATACCATTATTGGCAATTAAAAAAAATGATACACAAAGTTTTGGATAAAAGCCTAGCTTCTAAGAAAATCTCACCACTTGGTCTCTATCCCAAAAAGCAAAAACAGCAGATCTTTCTCTCAAGAAGGCCCCCACATGACTTCTTGATTTTGAAAAGTCAAAACTTTCAATTATCACAGAGGAGTTGATAGGGAGTCAAAATTTTCGACCGCAAGTTGCGGCTTTTTTGTCAATGCGATTATGCATATCTAAAGATTGCGGTATACCACAATATAATTTAAATAATTATTAAAATAAATATTTATAATTATTTGAGATTGAAATTGCAATTGCAATTTTACATTAAGATATATTAAATATTGCTCATATGTTTGCAAAGCGAAGTGTCTTTCAACAGTACACTTGCTGAGATTTTCTTTTTTACTGAGGATACATTTACTTGAAGAAATTAAAAGAAATATGCTGGGCCGATTCAATACAGTGCAATACTTGTCCGTGCTCTTTTTTTTGTTGATAGAAAGTTCTGTAATGTTTTTTTGTTTTTTTGTTGAGAAAATGGATTTCATTAACACATCAAGATCACAATACAAGATGTGGCAGCGTGCACATAAGATGGCCTCATTAAAACCTTTGAGGAAAATCCAAAGGGGTAAAACCTCAGAGGAGGAAAGAGTACCATACACGCCATAGACTATACAGAGGAGTCATACAAAACTAAAAGTGGCAGGACGGTTGTCATAGAGACAGTCCCATATATAATCATAACGGTGGCACATCAAACCAAAAAGCAAGATCCTCTTGACTAAGACCATAATGTGCAATACAATCGGCAACCCCATTTGTAGTCCAGAGAACATAGTGAATAGAAAAAGATGGCACAAAAGCCATAATACGAACAACATCCTCCACCAAACCCCCTGTCTTGCTGAACATTTGTGATTTGCAACTGCAAGTTGGTTTTGCATTTGCTTTCATGGCTTGGATGTCTTTTACGAGTCTTTTTCGACTTTGATATTTGGTTTGTAGGAGTTCCTGTAGAATATTGCTAAGTGATGAGGGATTTTGAAGGGTCTTATGGGTTTGGTAATTAAAGCATCTTTGGTGCATTTGTTAATTGTTTGTTCAATATCTTAAAGTGAAGATTAATGATGATTGCCGTGGTTTTTAAATACAGTTTTCTTAATTAGACAATGAGGGCTGGTTTGGTACACTGTATTAGACTTTAGATAGGAGTAAATAGTCCATGTCAAGTGTTTGGTGTCAACTTGTATTATTTAATTACCTGACTATTTTAAACGAGTTGGACTTTTAATACGCTCCTTACCCGACTAATACAACCCACATACCTCGGTTTGGATAATACACACTTAATTATACAGCTAGGAAAAAGAACACGCACGTTCATGTGAAAAATCTGACGATGCTATTTTCATCATCTTCTCCCTAGGGTTCTTCTCTGCTATCTTCTCCAAGGTTATTCTCTTCACTCCTCTCTCTCTCTCTCTCTCTCTCTCTCTCTCTCTCTCTCTTCTTCTTTTGTGGAAATTAGGTTATGAGTTTTTCCTTTTTGACTTTTTTTCTTGACGTTTTGGAACAATACATGTGGCTGTGTATCCAACTCAATAATCAAATAATCAAATTATCATCATGCAGCCATGTATCCAACTCAATACATGCTGTTGAGTTTTTCTTGCTTTTCTTTTTCTTTATATATTTCATCTTCTCCAAGTATCCAACTCAATAATCAAATTATCATCCCAAGTCAATAATTAGAACAATACATGCGACTATGTTTTTCTTGCTGTATTTTTTTTTTCTACTTTTGGTGCTTTGTTGGCTTGTTTTCTGGTTATATGAAAACAAAATCTTGGCAAAAACAATTGAAAAACAAATCTTGTCATATGAATCTTATCATAAAAAAATTTTATGTACTTTGAATTTGAATTTCCACTTAAATTATCAAAGAAGTTTTTCTAAAAAAGTAGTTTGATTCGATGTTATCTGGAACAACACCAAACAAAGTATAGTTTAGTCAGACTATTTATCCGGAACAACACCAAACGCCTTATAATATTACAGATAAACAGTCAATACTTTCCAGAACAGATTAATATTATTCGATAGAAATTAGTCAGTACAGTCCGACGTATCAAACGAGTTCTGAAGGTTATGTGTCGTAGAAATATTGACTGCAATATACCGACATGCGGTATATCGCAATTTGTTGGTTAGTTCATGGTTTGTCTTTTTAGCATACCTCAATATGTCGGTCGATTCACGATTTAATTGAAAAGTTGCGGTAACTGAATAGCACCCACCCTTACTTGAAGATATACTTTGAAGCATGTCGTTGATGCACAGCTTCTCTGATTGGAGCTCTTTGGCGGATTTTCTGGTCATAGAGAGAAGGGGTGACCGGAGCTCAGGGCTCCGGTCACTCGAATCAGATGACGATAAGGTGGCCGGCATGTTAAGTGGCTAAATTTATCTTGTAGGAGTTGGCGGCGATGTGGCGTTTTTTAACATATGAAGGTTGAATATACACTAAGTTTCTAAGCCTTTTTATATGTGTAAAACTATGTAATTACTGTAGACATCCCTGAACTTGGCCCCCATTTGCAATTGGGTCTATGAACTTTTTTTTTGGCAATTACATCCGTTAACTCGATAAGCAGTTGCAATTAGGTCCTGCCGTTCAAATCTGTCAATTTGTCCGTCAAAATTAGGGGTAAAAGCGTCCTTTCAGTTAGCATGGATGAACTGCTCCTTCTTCCATAATTATTTACTGTGCTGGAGAAAAGGTAAATTTAAAACAAAAAAAATAATAACAAGAACAAATATATCTTAAAGAATAAAATAACAAAAAATTCAAAAAAATAAAACCTAGAACAAGAACAGTCGCACCAAACCCAGAAAAAGGCACCCCTATGTCATCTTCCCCAACCCCCATCCCAACCTCCCCTTCCCCATACCCATCTCCGATGCTTCAAACGAAACTTGAGGGAGACTTCAAACGACCCTGTCTCTTGTGGAGAAAACTTTGGCGTGGGCTTGGGATTCCACGGATTCGGTGTCCTTCTGTATCCGCGAAAGGCAAGATCGAAAAAGTTTCGGACAATCCAATCCCGGGACTACAAAATCTCGTCGAATTTTATACTGGATTGTTTGGTTGTAGAAATAGAAAGAGTTTTTCTATTTAAACCCCGCATTTTTCTTTGTTCACCCCGTATTCTAAGTTCACCCCAACTTCTAATTCAAATTTTCACAATTTCTAAGAAAACCTCATTATCTTCCCAAACTACCCCTAAATACACACTCAGCATAAAAAATAAAAAAATAAAGAACTCATCAACATCACACTCCACACCCCGCTATCTTGCCCTTCACCATAGCCCAAATGATTAGAAGCAGTTATCCCTCAAGGTCCTATATTCGAATCTCTCCTTCCTCAATATTTCTTGTAAAAAAATATACAAAAAGTAAAAAAATAATTTTTTTTTTTTGGTTGAGTTCAAAACCATGCTAACTAGTAATCACAATGTTGTCAGCGAATAATATAGATGAAAGTATAACTTGGGTGCAAACTACAATCAGCCATCCCTCTGTCATGTACCAGCATTAAAAAAGAAAGAAGACACACACAATTTCAATAGAGCATCCTCTCCCTTGGTATGAGAGAAACTTTGCACTACACCTAACACATTGCAAGAAGACCATTACAAAGACACAGGCCCTCAACTTCTCCTCCTTTGCGTGCCCTGTTCTTCAGTCACAGCAAGGCCCATGTCTTCCAACCCAAAACCTCCAAACCAAAAGCCAGGCATTATAATGTGGTCTCTTACAATGCAATGATTGAAGGTTACTGAAGACAGGATAATTAAGATGTCTGAAGCGCTGGATCTTTTCAATGAGATGAGGCTTAGATTGCTCCACCCGAGTCTCTTGATTTGTCAACCTTCTTGGTGTTTCAGCTGATTTATTTACTTTGGAATTGAGCAAGTAAATCCATGGCCTAGTCACCAAATATGGGTACTGTTTGGACGTAATTGCTGGCAGTGCTCTTATAGATGTTTATTCTAAGTGTGTGGTGTGTGTGTATAGATGTATTAGGGTTAAGTACTAAGTTTGATGACCTTTTTTGTCTTTTTACACAATAATAAAACTTAAGATCTTAATGATTTAATTATTGGGGTGAACAAAAAAAATGTGGGGTTTAAATAGAAAAACTCAATAAAAATCCCATCTTGTTCGTCCTATTGCTGCATGCTGGGTGTTAATTTCTTGGTTCGTTGATTGGCAAGGAGCTTCTGTATACGAATTTTAATGGGAACTTCGGAGTTTCCAGATCTGGGTCGGCATTGCTACGTCGCCGATTGCCAGCAGATCGATTTCTTGCCCTTCACCTGCGATAGCTGCCATCAGGTCCTCTCTCTTTCTCTTTCTCTGTGAATTATATACCTCCATGCTTATGTGAACATCAAATGTTAAGAAATATGTGTATTTGAAATTTTCATTTTGGTTATTGGGATTGAGATTATGTTATGTTTGGTTTGCTTGGAGAATTTGCATTGGATTGGGGGTAAGAATTATTATTTCCTGAAAAAAGAAACAGAGGAAGATCCCGAAATAAATTTATCTAAACAAAATTCGAAAATTTGTCCATTTGGAACTGTGCATAACAACATTCTCTGGGAATTTACAAGAAGTTTCCAGGAAATTTCTAGTCTTGGGGTGTGCTCGAGTTACTATTATTGACTTTATCGGGTGATATTGCATTTCTGAACTGTTTTAAATAATGGTACATCATGTTGCATTGCCATATATGCTCAGAGTTTTTATATTATTTGACTGTTTACTAGTATTTCACGATTATTCCGATTTGCAGGTTGGGTTGGGGAAGATGAGATGGGGGTGCCTTTTTCTGGGTTTGGTGCGACTGTTCTTGTTCTAGATTTTATTTTTTTGAATTTTTTGTTATTTTATTCTTTAAGATATATATATTTGTTCTCATTATTATTTTTTATTTATTTTAAATTTACATTTTCTCTAGCACAGTAAATAATTCTGGAAGGAGCAGCTCATCCATGCTAACTGAAAGGACGCTTTTACCTCTAATTTTGACGGACAAATTGACAGATTTGGACGGCAGGACCTAATTGCAACTGTTTATCGAGTTAAAGGATGTAATTGCCGAAAAAAAAAGTCCACGGACCCAATTACAAATGGGGGCCAAGTTCATGGACGTCTATAGTAATTAACCCTTTAGGATATATATGCTTGTGCTTTACCTCGTCACTAGGAGCGTGGTACCTTTGGCTTGACACGTGGAGGGCAGTCCAGCCCTTGATTTGTTGGACTATGGTTTTTGATTGAGATGGGTTTTGTTTTTGTAGGGTGGGGTCTTAAAAAGAAGGGAGCTTGTGTCGATTATGGAATGTTGTTGGGATCTTTTTTTTTGGCACTAACCCACTTTTCATGGAGATAGTTATTTTCAGTGACGAGTGTTTTGTGTTGTGTAAATCAAAATATTTGAAGGACAAATGGTGGTGGGGTGTGTGGGTCGTAAAGGTTCACTAACTCCTAGCCCAAAAGAGAGAACAAGAAAGCTGGATAAAAAATTTTAAAAAATAAAATAAAAGAAAGAAACCAAAAAAGAAAAGGGTTTACTTTAAGCTTTCTCTTGGGATTCTTCCATGGACCTGAGATAATCATTCTTCCTACGAATTGGAGTTTAACACATATATAAAAGTAGTAATGCTATTTAGACACACAATATTGACCACCTTAGCTGACCACCTTATGTGGTAGCTGATGTGCTTTGCCATGTCAATTAATGAATGTTGTCATGTGTATTCTATTTTTTCTTTTTCTTTTTCCAATAATCCTTAAAAAAACAAAGACATTAAAAATTAAAAATCAAATTAAAAAACCCTTCCTGGCAAGTGGACTCAAGTCGTTCTCAATTCTTCCTCACGTCTCCACAGTACAACCTTCCTCCATTGTTGCTGCACTCTGATAAGAGAGTCACTAGAACGTGGCTGAGAGTTGGAGTCCCCCCGTATTCTCTACTTTGCTTCTCTCATTGCCTCCCTTCCTCCACCAAATTTATCCATCCCCATCCTCCACTGTTGTTGGTGAGAGTTAGAGTTTTCTCAAAAAGAATGAAATTTGCAGTCCTGAGCGATTGGGTGGGTTGAAGAATGGAGAGGTTCACTTGTCTATTCTTCTCCAAAAGCCTATCTGACAGAGAGGTTGATGATTGAGGTACATACCCATTTTTAGAGTAATTTTGTTGTAAAACTTCTTGTACAGTTCTTAGTTTTTGTTTCTTGAATTTGCAATTTGTTGTAAAAATTGATTAGTGTACTTAGTTGGGTCTTGCTAGCATGTAGTTCGCGGGTACTGGGTGGCTATAATGTCACTGAATGTGATAATATTTTAATTATAAAGATCATAACACTTATGATTGAATGCAAATTGTGATAGTTTATATGTGGTCTTTTCTTTTTCTTGGTGCTGGATTGTTGCAGGAACTTTTTGAGGGACATTACTTCTGTCAGGCACGAAGGGAGGACTTCTTTCAGCGAGCAAAGCCTTACAAAGATCATCCAACAATTATTAGGTGAAAGCATTGGGCAATAGCTTTTCAATTTTGGTTTGATCTTCCTAGCTGTCCTCATCCTGGATTCTGCATCGTGCTACTAACATACGAGGAGAACCTTTAAAAAGAAAAATGGAGGAAAAAAAAATTAGGTTCTTAATTGACTTGGGAACACTTTTTTGGCAGTAATACTTATGTATTTTATTGCTTGCTCTGTAGGATGCAAAAACTTGCAAAAGAGTTGGGTGTGGTAATACCAGTTAGTTTCTTTGAAGAGGCAAATAATGCCCATTACAACTCAATTGCCATTATTGATGCTGATGGGGCAGATCTTGGACTTTATAGGAAATCCCACATCCCAGACGGACCAGGTATTCAAGTTGCATAATGTTCCTCTTATTTGATCTCATCTTTTAATTATGATAAAAGCCACTATTTTTCTGCTGCAGGCTACCAGGAAAAGTTCTACTTCAATCCAGGTGACACTGGATTCTGTAGCAGTATATTTACACACAAGGGGTCGCTCAGGTGACACTGGATTCTGAAGCAGTATATTTACATTCTATAATCTGAACGTTGCATAGCTTGGTCTACAATGACAAGGAAATTGAGAGATTTTACAAGTCCAAATTCTGCAACCCCAAGTTTTGTTTTATTTTATTTTTCCTACAATTGCAGATAGGTTTCTCTGTCTTGATTGTAAATGCTCATTGATGAATAAGTGTATATACTCATATATTTTTGTAAGGAAATTCATTGAATTATATGTTTTGGTTCTTTGGATCAGTATTGGCGTTTCTTTGAATGTGGTTCTTTCTGACTGGATGATAACCATCCTACTCTTAGGCAACAATGCAGGGAGGCCCAAGTAACTCTTAATAGAAATGCTGGAAGTAATTAGACAACACTGATATTGGAAGAATAACTATAGAAATTAATAATGATATTTCCAATCCACAAATGGACATGATTTGCAGTACCATGTAGATTAAATTGCTACAATAGTGATATATATGAATGAAAAGGAAAAGAAAAAAGAAACTAATTTTGCGGTTGAGTACAAGATCAACTCCATTACTTCTGGACACCAAAATGGGACTTGAGCACTTCCTTATTTCATGTGTTCGTGAGGTTGTAGATAAACAACAGGAGGGTGTCGTGTGCTTTCTATCATATACTCTCCATTCAAGTGATGTGGACGATCTGCTTGAGCAAAGCCCATGAACAATGCCATATTATTCTACACAAAACATAAACAAATCCAGTAACCAAATAATTTTAAATACATCACTAATTTAAAAATCAAACAATTAAATACAAAAGTAATAGAACAACATCAGATTAATCTTTTAACAACTCACATTTTGAATGGGAAATGTAGGGTATTGATCATCATCCATACCACCATGAATATCTCGTGCATTTTGAGAATCCTGAAGTACAAAAAAACCAAGTATCTCATTTTAAAAATACATATGTATCAAGGCCAAGATATAAAGAATGGGAATCACAACTAAATATTCTTACAGTAAAAAGAATACTCTCTTGTGTTCCAACTATATCACAACTAATTTTGTCAGTGGGTGGAACATCACTTTCTACCATCTGGAACTCCTGAAAAATATACAAATACAACACATGTACAGCATGAATATTTTACTCACATGCTTAATCAAGACATAAATGGCATGTCTGCATAGTATTCCCCTAAACTCAAACTTGGAACAATTGCACTTAACTTCACTGTCAAATTCATGGAATATAACTATACCCAGTACCCATGAACTACAAGCTAGCTAGACCCCAACTAATTACACTAATCAATTTTTACAACAAATTGCAGATTCAAGAAACAAAAACTAAGAACCTGTACGACAATTTTTACAACAAAATTACACTAAACATTGCGTATGTACCTCAATCTTCAACCTCTCTGTCAGACAGGCTTTTGGAGAAGAATAGACCAGTGAACCTCTCCATTCTTCAACCCACCCAATTGCCTAGGACTGCAAATTTCATTCTTATTGAGAAAAGCAGAGTAGAGAATGAGAAGCAGAATGAGAGAAGCAGAGTAGAGAATACGGTAATTGAGGGGACTCCAACTCTCAGCCACGTTCTAGTGATACTCTTATCAGAGTGCAGCAACAATGGAGGAATGGAGTGCTATGGAGACACGAGGAAGAATTGAGAACGACGTGAGGCCACTTGCCAGGGACGTTAGGGTTTTTTAATTTGATTTTTAATTTTTAATGTTTTTGTTTTTTTAAGGATTATTGAAAAAAGAAAAGGAAAAAATAGAATACAGATAGCAACATTCATTAATTAACATGGCAAGACACATCAGCTGCCACATAAGGTGGTCAGCTAAGGTGGTCAATATTGTGTGTCTAAATAGCATTACTCATACAAAAGTAGTTCATAAAAAACACAACAAAAAAAACTTTTGTATACATTTCACACTGCTATTGACAGGAATGTATGAGTTTCTACTTATATAATGAGCTCCCTAAACCATTTTCTTAGATAAATTTTATGGGCTAAGCCATTTCGTTTGATACGGCGGACTGTTATGGACATGAATAAATCTTGGGACTATTTTGAATTAGCTCGGATTGGTCTAAGCTGGATTAAGTACTGGCCTACGTTTGATGTTGCGTCGAACTAAGAAGCTAGAGTGTAAAAATAGTAAAGACATATGTTTGGTGCTCTGTCGGACTAAAAAAATAAATATTTTATTTTAAATTTAATTAAAAAATTTAACCTATAAATGAATAAATAAATAAAATTATAATATTTATTTTTTTGGTCAATTCATCATTTCATTAAACCCACGCTTGTTGTCATTGTCTGTATGTAAAGTGAGAGTGAAACGTTTTCTTCTTCTTTTCTCTATTTTTTATTTTGTATTCTCTCTCCTCTCTCTCTTCTTTCTGATCTCATTTTCTTCTTTTCTTTTCTTCCTCTTTCTTTCCTTCTTTCTTCTCTTTGTTTCTGGTTTCATTATTTTCAACTTTTCTCTATTTGGAACTTCTATGAATTGGAACTGCTTTTCTCTTCTTTTTTTTGGGTTTCATTACTCTTTCTTTTCTCTCTTCTTTATTTTTTATTCTTCCTCTCCTCTCTTTCTCTTCTTTATGATCTCATGTTCTTCTTTTCTTTTCCTCCTCTTTCTTTCCTTCTTTATTTTCTCTGTTTCTAATTTCATTATTTTCAGCTTTTCTCTATTTGGAACTTCTACTAATTGGAACTGCTTTTCTCTTCTTCTTTTTTTTGTTCTCTGTTTCTAGTTTCTTTATTTTCTGGTTCTTCTATTTTACCAATTCCCTAAACCCTTTTCTGATTTGTGTTTTCCTCTTGTGTACAAACAGAGATGGCGAAGAGAGATAGTTCTGGGTTCTGTGGGTGACTGGGGTGGCGAAGAGAGATGGGTCTGTGTGTGGCTTGCGGGTGGTGATCATGAGGGATAACAAATTCGGGGGAGAAGGGAGAGCGCTGGGCATTGGGTTTTGCCAGAGTCTGTCGATTGGGTCTGTGGTGGTGGGGGTTTTGATTCAAGGCGTAAGCTCGCATGTTCAAAATAGTGATGGTGCTATTTTGCGAACTGCATTTGGGGCTCACTGAATTAGACATGCGAGTCCGGTTATTTTTTCACTGTTGGACAATGCAATCTCATTTAAGTTAATCCTCTTCCTAACCATACGTGGGTTTTAAGTGTTATTTAACACAATCCAGTCCAGCTAGGCATAATGAGGCCTACCAAACATGTCCTAAGCATATAGCAGTGCATGGTGGCATCCACAAGGTAAGTTTCTATAGTCATTGTGCCACATGAGAAAAAAAGGAAAGGATACAATCCTCAGCATTCAGGACCCAAGTAGTGTCGTTTTTTTTTTTCAGTGATGCATGTAGGATAAACATTATTACACACATTTAAATAAGGGCTAAAATCCAATCAATAACCAGACAATATTGGCAGTACCTAACTCAGAGCATAGAGGTCCCTCTCTTATTTGAGAAAAGACCGAAAGACAGTCTGACATAAAAACTCATATAATTGTCACTGGATCAATAAAATGTGAAGCAATCTTATCCTTCACCACTTTACCAACACGCGTGTAGCCATCGTCACCTTTGTAAAGGAGATCTACCACTTTTGTTAAATTAAGAACTCTCATTAGGACAGCCATTGGCGCTGCAGTTGGTCTTAGAAACTCCTCGTTTATGTCCTTCCACAGATCCACCACTTGCTTGTTCAAAGCATCAAGTGCCTCTTGCTCCGACACCCCATATTGCTTCATGTAGCAATCAATACTACAGGCAACATGGCCTCTCTCTTTCTCAAACTGCATACAGAAATTCAAAATATTAATTCGGAAATATTATAGAAATTCAAAATATTAGTTGTGGAACCACTTATTATATATGGTGTTTTATTTTGTCAAGTTTACGATGTGAAACTTGCATTTTAAACATGCATACCTAATCTAGCATGACAAGAATATTTTGTACCTTGCTGGTGACAACATCATCCATGAACCTAAAAAGGGTAGAGGAAGCTCTAACAATTTTTGCGTCATTGAACAGCCACTCAAATGTGTCCTTTGTTACAATTTCTCCCATGCCAAGTAAGGATACAGTTGAAAGCATGGGGTAACCAGTAGAAACTATTGCAGCAGGTAGATACTCCTCCATGGTTGGGGTGTATCCTTCATTGAACCATCTGGCCTCCTTAAAGTAAGCTCGGGCTACAGCTTTCAACTAGAGGGGACATAACGTTATAGCCAGATAATGTGGAAGAAAATAATTTAAATATATTATATACATACAGATTCCTTTGCATAATAAACTCGGTATGATCTTCCATCCTTCGCAATCTCTTCCTCAATTTCATCGACAACATTCAAAAGGGTACGATAAAATATTTGCATATAGTCTACTAGTTCATCTATGCAACTCATATCCCACCTGAAAATTTGATAAACCTTGTAAGTTGGCTTATTTAGGAGCACTTCTGCAATTACAATAAATCAGCTCTAAATTATAAAAAAAATAAATAAATTATGATTTCAAAGTAGTACCTCTCAATTGCTGCAGTAAAGATCTCAAGTTCTTCAAACGTAGCATATGCGTCGTAGATATCATCCATCACTGATACCAGGGCAATCACTTTTGTAAGAAATTTTCTTGCTTCGACGTATTGGGGTTCAAAGTATACTCCGACTACCCAGAAGTACAACTCCACGATCCTGTCTCTTGCGAAAGGCATCTTCTTTTCAAAGTCTACTTCTTTCCACCACCTAATGAGCAATAACATTATGTGTAAGAGTGTAACTTGAGTATATATGCTCACATTTACAATTAAAAGAGGGACTTACCTAGTAATCTCACTGAGCTCATTTTTGTGCAAAGACTGAACAAGATTGAAATCTAACTTCGCAAGTTTCAACAAAGCTTCATTGTGTGAAGCTTCATCTTGGTAGATTGACATGTAACGCCTGGCACATACCCTCTCTAGATCTTTTTGCAATGGTCTCTCCATGGCTTGAGTGATTTGTTCTGCATGTTCGTAGCTTCCATGAGCTTTTGCAGCAGATTCAAGGTGAGTGGTGGTGAAAGCAAGAGCTTCATCTAGTATTTCTTCTCCCCGTACTCCTAGATGCCCGGCTTCATAAAGGCTTAGCATCCCCGGAACATCGACAATTAAACATTCCTTGAAGCTGCCATTTTCGCCTTTGAACTTGTTGAACACATCTGCTTGATTGTCATAAAAATGAACAGGCACTAGTTGGCAAAAATCAGTCACATTACACTCCACTACATTATAATTTGTTGATTAACTTACCACATGAAACCTTATATCCATGTTGTCTTAGTAGCCGGAAACCAAGAGCAACGTTGTATAGATTTCCATCATCACTAAAGTCATGGTCATGAAATGCAGCATGCATATGCTCCAACGCTTCTTCAATTTCACCTTCAAAATGGTATGCCACGCCAAGGCGCTGGATTGCATCAATCAACTTGAGCTGATGTGAAAAGTCACCTGCACTAGTTGTAAATACTTCCCTCCTCACTACATCTTTCAGCTCCTCAACTTCTTCTTGGTTCCGGGCACTTGTTATCTGCGGCCAGCAATTAATTAAATAAGAAGAACACTTGCGATTTTATTTTATTTTTTAGAGAAAAATAAACATGAATATATAATGATAATATAATTTGCATGAGATTACAATGTCTTGGGAATCATAGTTCATGAACCGATCTCCCCAAATGCTTGGTGGGAAATTTGCCGTCCGACGAATAATTTCAGGCTTAGATTGGGCTGTTGCACAGACTTGGATAGACATGTTTTGCTGTTTTTTCTTTGGTAGATAAAAATCAGACGGCACTTATTAGTACTGTTTTCTATACGCTTCGAGCTTTGCTATGAAACTATGAAACACATTGATGGTAGACTCATGTATATATAGGCAAGGGTTGGGATATAAAATTATTGCAAAGCAAGAATAGAATCGTGCATAGCAGAAGACAGATTCATATAAATCATATAATAATTTTCAAAGCAATAATTTCCATGGCTAGGGCCGCTCCCTTTTTTGAGTGCGGGTATATATATTATCTTTTTCCTTGTAACGTTTTTCTCACGTAACATATTATCCTTTTTGAGTGCTGGATTTAGAGCAGATGTGTAGCGTTTTTTTCGCCCCTTTTAAAGCTAGCATAATGGTGAATCGATGATGATGGTACTTTCCTCTTCAATACATGAGTTAAATCAATATGATGATGGTTCATGAACCGATCATCCGCCATGCATCCACATGTTTAAACGTGAGAGAGACATGCGTTACCCTATATTGCAGTAATTCTAGTTAGATATGGTTGATGTGATCTTGTACGACTTATGATTCATAAACCCAATAGCATATCTACAAAAAGAGACATTGTCAACCTAGAAGTCATAGATTCCCACAAATTAATTAATAAGGAATTAATAGACGCTTAATTGCTCAATGATTTGAGGAGTTTGATTGGTTGGAATATAGTATAGCTAAAGATGTTGCATTTTGTCTTCATTGTTATCTCTTTAAACCTAATTTTGATCAAGTGGGTGGTGACGCATTCACTGGGGTAGACTTTAATAATTGGAAGAATGGGAAAAAAAGATTTAACCTTCATGTTGGACCAGTTAGTAGTGTTCACAACCAAACTAGAGAAGTTGCTTACAATTTGATGTATCAAATTACACACATTGAAACAGTTGTGATCAAGCAAACAAACCAAGCTCGTACGGCTTATTGCACTTACTTGAATGCATCACTCAAGTGCACTAGGTATTTGTTGCAGCAAGATCTTTCTTTTCGTGGTCATGATGAAAGTGCCATTTCAAGTAATAAGGAGGATTATTTAGAGCTCTTGCAATTTCTTGTGAGTCATGATGAAAAAGTTAAGGCCGTTGTATTGGAAAATGCTCCGGGCGATCTAAAGTTAATAGCTCCTTCAATTCAAAAAGATATTGTCAATTCTTGTACCAAAGAAACCATTGGTTTTATCTTGAGTGATGTACAAGATAGATATTTTTTAATAATGGTGGATGAAGCACGTAATGTTTCAATAAAGGAGCAAATGGCGATGGTGTTCCGTTATGTGAGTGACAAAGGACAAATAATTGAAAGGTTTGTAGGGGTTCAACATGTACCCGACACTACTTCAAGTGCACTAAAGGAAGCCGTTGATGAATTCTTTTCTTCCGAGAATTGGAGCTTTTCCAAGCTACAATAACAAGGTTATGATGGAGCTAGTACTATGAGAGGTGAATTCAATGGCCTTAAAACAAAGATTTTGAGAGAACAACCTTGTGCATTTTATGTTTATTATTTTCCTCATCAACTTCAACTAGCTCTTATTGTCGTAGCTTGATTGTTTATATTGAGAGAGATGTTTTTGTTTGTATTGATAATGAAACTATAATGCAACATTTTCAAAATATAAAAACTCGTTGTGAACAATTGTAACTTGTATTATTAGTTTTGTCATGAATTATGAATGGAAGTACTATCTTACTATTTTTTTAGTATTATTTTTTTTGTAGAGAAAAATTTCGGAACTTTTACACTGTGACCCCTTGGCCACATAATCCTGAATCCAACACTGGCTGCAACAATTAATTTCATTAATAAAAGAAAAATACAACAAAAGGGCCCCACAAAAGGCTCTTGCAAATAACAGAAAGATACAAACAATACTCTTAAATTTAATTGGTCCTTTTATTTAGCCTCACATAGGAATACGACTAGTGATTAGATTTAAAAAAAAATATGGGTAGGGATATAAGAATTTGGGTGGCAATAGCATAACCAAATTAACTTACAAATATTGAATTTAAAAGAATTCAAAGTTGTAAAACTTGTAGGAGGAGAGCACAAAAGGAAGAAGACGAAGAAGAAAAGTAGACTCCTTTTAAGACCATTGCTGTTGCTGACAGAGATCCATATAAAAGGAATAAAATAATAACAGCGATTTATAATAAAATACCCCAAAATAAAATAATAACAATACTGTCGGTAGCCTTCGACTGATCATGTCCATTCCTTTCCATTTCCCTTCCAGTTTCACTTGGTCTCTGTTTTGGTGGGCAGATTTGTGGATCTTTTGTGGGCAGCTATGTTGGTTTGTGTGCTAGGTTGTAGTGAGTTTTATGCTTTTTTGTGTTTTTGGGTTCATTTTGGTGTGTGTTGGAGCATGAAATTTCGGGTTCTTTAATAAGTAATCTTGTGTTCCATGTTGAGAAGCTGGACGCCATTTCAATTGCCATCAATGAGGAATGAGGAGGGTACCTACAAGAAAATACTCCGACACTCAAGTCAATGTTCGTTTAGGAATATTGCAGTAGAGTCAGAATAATGACATACATCTATTCCTTTATGCTGGGGGATTAGGGAAATGGAATGAGGAGGGTACATACATCTATTTCTTTTATAGGTATTGAACACTTTGACTTCAAGTTCCATATCCCTTATTTATCTCCACGTTCTATGGTAGTGAATATCATGTTATTTGATTCCCTACCCTCCCACAAAATTAAGGTTCATGGGAAGTGGCTTTTTACTTGAGCCTTAATTTTTGCTCCCACAATGTAACTGATTTTGGCTTTCAACGTTAATAAAACTTGTTTCTGACAAAACAAAAAACTTCGTTCCCAAATTAGTTTCATTAATACAATAAAAAGCCTTCAATCTAGCTAGTATTGTATACTAATCTTTTTATTTTTCAGTTTTGATAATCAATCTCATCTCTTGAACCAAATGAAATGGTCATCAAATGAGATATATCTACGAGTTATTTACACTAACATTTTATGAAGTTTTCAGTGTTTTCATATAGTCCATTGAAATTTTAAAAATTACACAACTACACCATGAAGTTTTAAATTGTTTTCACCTTTTTCAAACGACTGTTGATGACCATTCATGACCAAGGAAAAAAACATAGTTAACGTGTGAAATCCGAAAGGGGTGATAAAATGGATAGATTGGGAGCGTCTTGATAAGAAATGTAGCTTTTGGAATATTTAATCATCCAAATAGATGAAGCCGATCTTCAACACGATCTTACCAAAATTGGCAGATAATGTCATATGATCCTGCGCATCCAGAAGTTGACAGGTAGTGAATCATGATTCATGATGAACAGGTTGGACCTTTCATGATAACGACACTGGATGCATGTTTTGTGTTGAATTATCCAACAGTGCTGCAGCCCTACAAGCTCGTGTTACAATTGCTAATGTTGTAATGTCATGATCTTTTTATCTATATAGATAAAGCAAAAGGAATTCTCAATTATTTTAAATCATTTTAACAATTTTTTTTATAAAAATTATTATTATTATTTTTGCTAAAGTTAGGAAGGTGGGAGGAAAGGAACTCGTAGTGGCTTGAATTGTGGTTTATTTGAGAGCACATCAAAGGCTCGAGCCAATCCAACTAACAATAAGCCTATTGGTGTGGTAAATTATTTTGAACTAAAATGCTCTAATTTGAACGTAACAAAAAGTCAAGAGGTCCTTATTGCAAACAATAGAAAATAAGATACAAAATAATAAAACATAATAAGGAGCCGGCCTATCCCAAAGCTTCAAATACCTTTCAGAGTTAAGTACATGCAGAGATGGTACCTGTTCAGAGCCGGCTTGTTATTAGCCCAGAAGGATAATCGCCTAGTGCTCCACATCGGGGATGGCCCCCAAAATTATTTTATGAGATCTATATATATATAAAGGCAAAGACCTCAAACGGTGTTAACATCCAAACACCTTTAAAACGCCCCTTGGTTAACCAATTTGGTAAACAACCACAATTTAATATATTAAGGGCAAAATAGTAAAAACTTAATCTTTAATTAAAAAAAGAAAAAAAGAAAATTAATTTGCTGATGCTAAAAAATGGTCCGACATTGCATTAAGTCTACATCTAGTATGCATTGGGTATTCTAGTCCCCTCTCTTCCAAAACACACTGTTAGAGCCGTTTTCAATTTGAAGGGGGAGGAAGCCACTGTTATTATGAGTTTGCAATCTTAGTTGGGATGCCTATGCCAGAGTTTATTTGATCCTACATGATTGTTAGTTAAACTGCACTAAATTGTCTTAATTTTGATGTTAGATTGCTTCATTATTATAATGGCCCTTTTGTGGCTAGTTTGTATTGGTCTTTGTGACTAGTGACGTTTTATAAGTATATGTTAAACAATCATCACCGGATATATTAATGCAATCGGTATTTGTGAACATGACGTTTGTCACGCTGAAAACGTGAATACATACCTGATAAGCTCGTTTTTAAGGATCATATCTAATACTTAAATCGGATCAAACACATATCTATGCTCAGAAGGAGGAAAAAGAACACGTGTTAAACATATGCTCTAAATTGAGACAATGGCCTAAATCGTACGTGACAAAAAGAAAAGGGAAAAGAAAGACATCCCACTCAAAGAGTCATGAAAGGGAAGCCCACTTAACGGGCCACGACATGGAAATTATATCTTAATTAGAGTGAATGATGTGGATTTTGCCGATATATACATAATCGTATATACATATAATCGTACCCTGTGATCATTTTGCCTATATGTACATAATCGTATGAGCAATATTTCAGTACAAAGCAAACCATGTCTTTCCCAATAGCAGCTCAAGTAGCACACAGTGCTGAGCCAGAAATTGTTCGGCAGACAGCAAGTGGACCAACTGAAAGTAGCAGTGAGGAAGGAAGTATTGACAACAAGTGCAGGTGATTTTTCACATCAGCTCAAGCTAATTGATGCAGTCCAGCGCCTTGGCGTGGCTTACCATTTCGAAAGAGAAATCGAAGAAGCCTTGCAACGTGTGCACGTTACATATCATGACTATGATGGTGCGGATCTCTACACTGTTGCTTTGGTTTTCGGCTACTAAGACAACATGGATTCAATGTTTCTTGCGGTAGGGGGTGAAGAAATTAATTAATTAAATGTGTGGAATGTGATGTGAGTGGCTCTTGGCTATAATATTATTCCATGTCTCATATATGTGCCCATTTTTTCTGACAATAAACCAGATATATTCAACAAGTTCAAAGATAAAAATGGTAACTTCAAGGAGAGCTTAACTGCTGATGTTCCTGGGATGCTAAGCTTTTATGAAGCAGCACATCTAAGGAAGCATGGAGAAGACATACTAGAAGAGGCTCTTGTTTTCCTCGCACAATTCTATAATGGCCTACCCGAAAACAACCAGTGATTTGAGGAGTTTCCATGGCCTTGCAACCTTTTACATGCATTTTGTTCGCCATTTCAATACCCTGACCGCACCAATTACTAAGTGCCTGAAGCGTGAAAATTTTAATTGGGGTGAAGAGCAAATACAAAGCTTTGCCCTTATTAAAGAAAAGTTGAGCACAACACCAGTTCTAGCCATTCCCAACTTTGAGAATATATTCGAGGTCAAATGTGATACGAGTAGAGTAGGGGTAGGAGCTGTTTTATCTCAAGAGAATAGAGTAGTTAAATTTGTCTCAGAAAAACTCAGTGAAGCATGCCAAAAATGGAGCACTTATGACTAGGTGTTTTATGCAGTGGTTCGAGCCCTGAAACAATGGGAACATTATCTAGTGCAACGGAAGTTTTTACTTTACACTGACCACCAAGCCTTGAAATTTATCAACAGCCTGAAGAGTGTGAACAAAATGCATGTCAGATGGGCTACTTTTCTGCAGAAATTTTCATTTTTTATTAAACATAAATATGGAGTTCTTAACCGTGTAGCAGATGCACTGAGTCGTCCAGCAACTTTGCTTGTTACTTTGGCTCAAGAAGTTATGGGTTTCAAATTTCTGAAGGAACTATATGAGACTGATGAAGATTTTCAGGAAATTTGGGCTAAGTTTATTCGCAATGAGCCGATGACAAATTATCATGTTAATGAGGGGTATTTATTAAGGGCAATCGATTATGCATTCCTACTTCTTCTTTAAGGGAGAAACTGATCAAGGACTTGCATAGGGGTGGACTAAGTGGCCATCTGGGCCGTGATAAAACCATTGCCATTATGGAGGAGAATTATTTTTTGCCAAACTTGAAGTGGTGAGATGTCAACACCAATATACGAAAGTACAACAGTTGTCAGGTATCTAAAGGGGTAGTCCCAAAATACTGGTCTTTATATGCCTCTCTTTGTCCCTGATGACATTTGGCAAGACTTTCTATGGATTTTGTTATGGGACTCCCTCATACACAACAAGGAGTCGATTCTATTTTGTTTGTGGTTGACAAGTTTTCTAAGATGGCACATTTTATTGCTTACAAGAAGACTGTGGATGCTTCCAACATAACCAAATGGTTTTTTAGGGAGGTTGTGCTGTTGCATGGTGTTCCTAAATCTATTATGTCAAACCATGTCACCAAATTCCTTAGCCACTTTTGGATAACCTTACGGAAGATGTTTGGTATGGACTTGAATCGTTGTAGCACCGCTCATCCGTAGACGGGTGGTCAATCCAAGGTTACCAACAAAACCCTTGAAAACATGGTTAGGAGCTTTTGCAGAGACAGGCCGAAGCAATGGGATGTTGCATTGCCACAAGTGGAGTTCACTTACAACAGTGTTATTCATTCTTCCACATGAACGACAATGCCTATGTCGTGAATCTTCCTTCTTCAATGGGCATATCTAGCACTTTCAATGTTGCGGATCTACATGAGTTCCATGATGATGAGTCAATTTATCTTAATGATAACTCGACGTCGAGTTCTTCGGAAGTGGAAGGGACTGATGTAGAACAAAGGATGGAAGCAATCAAAAAGGAGCTGGAGTGACATGCGCACAATGGCAAATCGGGTAAACTACATATTTTGGGTCTAAGCTCAGAATTGGGCCCATGACCCTTCGATTTGAAGGGAACAGTGTCACGAGTAAAACCCCATTGCTTTGCTGTGATGTATGGGCTTTTTCAAACATCCGATATCGTTTGGTAGCCAGAAATCCATTTTTTATAGTTTTTGGAAACTTTGTTATTTTCCTATTTTAATTCCTTTGTTATTCCTGAGGTTTCTATGAGTATCTAAGCATACTTTACTCATGGTTATGGTTATGTTTTGTTATTCCAATTTTATCAATAAATCTTGAGGTTTCCTCATATCTTGTTGATGGATTCAAGAGTTACATGTTTTAGGCTAAAGTTTGGCCAATCAATTGTCACGCTTTCTCAAAATGTCAATCAATCCCTCATTATGCTCTCTCCTATAATCATGTATCATCTTTGGAATGAATCAGTATAGGAATCAATATAATTATTCTCTTACCATATCTAGTACACGGTTGCTCTTATATGTTTACTGACAATTATCAAAGAATAATATCAATCATTTCTATCTCAAAATCCTTCAAAGAAGCTATTACCCTCCATTTGCTTTTCGAAGCTGCAAATAGTTATGGATCAAGCTATAGTGGATAATACAAATATTCTTTATTAAGGTTTAGTTTCTGTCTAGCCCGAAACATATCGTAAAGAAGTGTACACATAATAATACACCATAGCAAGCCCAACAACCATCTCTCTCAAAAACTCTAAAATCCAATCAACATGACAACATCAATTCTTGGGAATGACCTTATTTTTAAAATTAATTCTAAGGAACGACCTAAAAGTGACTAAAAGGAAATCTCATAATAAGCCAAATCAGAGAGGCACGGGTTCAATAAAAAGTGAAGCAACACTATCTTTCATCACTTTCCCAACATGTGTGTAGCCATCCTCCCCTTTGTAAAGGAGATCAACCACTCTTGTTAGATTCAGAACACGCATGAGGACAGGCATTGGCACATCAGTTGGTCTAAGGAACTCCTCGTTGATATCCTTCCACAAATCTTTAACCTGTTTGTTAAAAATATCAAGCACCTCTTGCTCTGGCACCCATATTGCTTCATGTAACATTCAATACTAGAAGCAACATGCTTTCTCTCTTTCTCAAACTGCAAAAATAAATCCAAAATACAAATTTAGTTATCTTACCTAATTCTGATTTGTACCAAGGTAAGAACATCTTATTATACGTACCTCGTATCCACTAAGGTCATCCATGAGCCTAAAAATGATATTTGAAGCTCTAAGAATTCTAGGATCATTCAACAACCACTCAAAAGCTTCCTTCGTTACAATATCTCCCATGCCAACCAGAGATGTAATTGAAAGCAAGGTGTTACCAACACAAGCTGTTGCTACACTCATATACTCTTCCATGCTTGGAATGTAGTCTTTGTGCAACCATTGGGCCTCAGCGAAGTAGTTCCGGGCTTGAGCTTTAACCTATGCCATTTGTTAAAAGCATTGAAAAGTAAAGTGAGTTGTGACTGTTGAAAAAATCCCAAGGAACAAACTCAAAATAGATTAACAGCAAATAAAGTTGTGCATTTGCATTACGTACAGCTTCTTTTGCATAGTTAACTCGGTATGATCTTCCTTCTTTTACCATCTCCTCCTCAATTTCGTCGTAAACATTCAAGAGGGTATGGTAAAATACTTGCATATAGTCTGGGAGTTCATCCATACAATTGATATCCCACCTGAATATTGCATAAACCACATTCATCTTAGGCATACAAGCAGGTAGGAGTTATGCAACAAATAAATCAGCTTCAATAATTAATTAGAAAGCAGATTATAATTTTTTTCCAATTAACCTTTCAATTGCTCCAGTAAAAATCACGAGTTCTTCGTATGTGCCAAATGCATCGTAGATATCATCCAAAACTGATACCAGGGCAATCACTTTTGTAAGAATTTTTCTTGTTGCCATATAATGCGGTTCGAAATAGACTCCAACTATCCAAAAGTACAGCTCCACGATCCGATCTCTTGCAAAAGGCAGCTTCTTTTCAAAGTCCAGTTCTTTCCACCACCTATAATTAATTGACAATATTAAGTGTATAGGGTGTACTGATTGCAAACTATTTTATGTTTACATGATTCAAAGACTTACCTAGTAATCTCACTAAGCTCCTTCTTGTGTAAAGATTGAATGAGATTGAAATCTAACTTTGCAAGTTTCAATATAGCTTCACTACGTGAAGCATCATCCTGGTAGATTGACATGTAACCCCTGGCACATACCCTCTCCAGTCCCTTCTGCAGAGGTCTCTCTAAGGCTTGAGTTATCTGTAAAGCCAGCGGATTTCTTGCGTCCATCGTTTCTGCCGACTCAAGGTGAGTGGTGGTGAAAACAAGAGCCTCTTCTAGTATGTCTTCTCCATGCTTCCTTAGATGTGCTGCTTCATAAAAGTTTAGCATCCCAGGAACATCCACCTTGTTCTCTTGCAAAACTTTCAAAGCCTTCTTAAAATGTATCAGATGCTCCTCATTGGTTTTGTTGTAAATCAGAATGTCATCAAAATAAAATACAACACATGAACCAATAAAGGGATGAAAAACCTAATTCATAATTATCATAAATGTGCTCGGTGCATTTGTCAACCCAAACGGATACAATCCAAACGGCATCACCAACCATTTGTATAATCCATGATTGCTCTTAAAAGCTGTTCTCCACTCATCTCTAGTTTAGATTCGAATTTGGTGGTACCCACTCAAATCAATTTTGGAAAACACTTTAGTGCCCTTCAAAACATCCAACATGTCCTCCAAGCGTGGAATTGGAAATCTATACTTGATGGTGATTTTATTGATTGCACAGGTTTTAACACACATGGGCCATGTCCTGTTCATCTTTGGTACCAACAATACTAGAACTGCACATGGACTCATACTCTCTTGAATAAATAATTTTTACAGCAATCTTCTATCTTTTCTCTGAGAATCTCATTCTCCTTAGGGCTCATACGATAATGAGGTGGATTGGGAAGACTAGCTTCAGGTACCAAATCAAGTTGATGTTGTATGTCTTTCATGGGTGGTAGGTCATTCGGTAAATCATCTGAAATTAACCCTTGAAAATCAATTAAAATTTTATTTACCTCTCTAGGGCAAGACACACCTTCTAGCAAGGCAACTAAGAATCCTTTCACATACGTAGAGTACATGACATTAGCTTTTTTAATATTTTCCTTAAACTCTTGCTTGCTGTTTGACATCATTAGAAAATTTGAGTTCTTTAGCTTCTCTAATTTTCCAGATTCACTGACAGAAGCCATAGCAATCTTGTGGGAACCCCAATTGATCAAATACACATTATCACGTCCTTTATGTGTAGCATCTGTATCATACTGCCAAGGATGCGCTAGTAATA